TCATTACCCTTATCATGCACCACAGAATTGACAAGTTTTTCCAAGTTTTCAGTGTTAGGGTTGTCAATAGTAGAGGGAATTTCAGCATTTTTCTCTGGGTTCTCATCAGAGCTAGGGGATGGATCAACACAAGAGAGGGGAGTGGAAATACCATGCACATTATGATCTCCATAGAGGATCTTGGTGACAAGTTCTCTAATGGATCTATCCACATAAGCAGAGCCTTCCTTGTTTTTCATTCTAGTAATGTTGTCAGAGGGGGATTCATAAGTGTTACCTTTGGAGGGTTGTTGGGACTCATTTACATGTGAAGGAGCGGTCTTGGGAGCTTCACTTGCATCACCAGGAACCATATTGAGAGGAGTAACATCAAGAACATCTTCAAAACAGAGGTTCATGGGGTGAGCATCAGTATGGGAAGTCTTAGTGGAGGCAGCATCACGTTTGGGAGACATTTTGATGTTTCTGAGAGAGGAGAAGGTTTGAGGAGGTTGGAGGTAGGTTGCACAGTGGTGAATATGCAGAGAGAGGAAGATAGTCTGAAGAGTAATGGAGGCGAGGGAGTTGAAGGGGCAGTTGTAGGGAAATATTTGAGTGGGATAACGTGCTTGAATACACAAGGGCGTTGTCATACCCCAAATTTTACCCTTAGATTCATTTAGCATTTCATTTCATCTGTCATTTTTTACTAACTGCTAACCAGTTTGCCGAGTTTGTTCGTGTTTGCAGGTGTATTGAAAAATTAGAAGATAATACCATTCGTGCGAGTGCGGATGCACTACTAGTTCACAGTCTTTTGACAATTACAGAACCAGATCGTTGGCAGAGGGTCCTCAAGCAATTAGAGTTTTCTATCCCTGAATTATGCGACTTTGGTTTGAGAATGGGTGGATCTTTATGATAGTATTGACGTCAGATTCTTCTTGATACGCCCATCTTTATTCGGGAACCGGATTTAGTCATCAAATGGGTTTTGGAATGCTGTTTGTTTCAAGGAAGTTATCTAAACAAGTGCACACATTCATTTTTTTTCTTTCTCTACTGGTTAGGAGTTTAAATTTTAGAGGCACAGTGGGATTTACGGTTTGCATTAGATTTATAGTGAATATCAGTTTGGTTTTGTCGCGAGTATCAGTTGATTCAATTCAGGTTACAAAAGTCAAGTTTATTCGAAATACGACTTGGAATTTAAATGCGGAGGAATAAAGTCATGTTGCTACAAGATTGAATTTTATTATTTTATTCAAGATCAATTTCCATACACTTTCCAAATTACATCAAGAATGCAGAATCATGACTTTACAAAGTTACTTTTATTGGATTCTTGATTACAAATTAAAGTCCTATTTTCCTAAAGTTCTAAGTTGGAGGTCTTCAGCATTGAGTCTACAAGTTTGCGGATTTTTCGAACCTCCAAAACCTGCAAAATGTTGAAAGCTGGTCAGAAGTCATTTTTAATAAAAAAAAAGTGATTTTTTTAATTTTTTCGGACCCTTAGAACAACGTCATCATCGGGTCCGAAAGGGGCAGCAGGATATGCTACCGAAGCCCCCCCTGTTTTTGTTTCCGACCTCAAGCCCAAGACCCGACAGAATTCAGTTCAAGTTCCAAGAGAGAGAAAAGGAGATTTTATTTGAAAAATGATTTCAGCCAAACAAGTCCTTAAGGAAAATCCAAAAATCCAGCAAACAAATCAAATTCAGATTTCATCATCCAGAACTATGGATCCAGAAATGAAATAGAAGTTAATATAAAAAAATCATTTTCTAAAGCAAATCAAAGCTAGTGAAAATCCAATCATCATCAAGACAAAATCAAATCCATCTAAAAACAAATAAAATCTCAGATGTTATCATAAAAAAACGTAAACCATCATCGCATCCAAGCCCACAAAAACAAGTTGGAAACGGATTTTAAAACATGATATAAAACGGACGGATCCAGAAGAAAAAGGGGGGCGGAAAAAAATCAAAACGGCGGACAAAAATCAAAACCACAGACAAAAATCACCATCAACTAAGGACGGACAAAGAACATCACGAAACCATCCGCGGATCAAACAACAAATAGCCTCAGAGAAACTCATCATCGACCGTCAAATCCAAAAACAACAACCGTCAAAAACTCAAGCCACCACAAAATCCGTCAAAGCCACAAAGCCTCAGTTAAACATCATGGGCCGTCAAAGTCACAAAATCGTCATCATCATCGCGAAATCATCCATCACCAACCGTCAAATTTCTGGAAAAAAAACACTTTTGGAACTGTAAGATTCTTTTTCATTAACGTTGTGATGTTTTGTGTAAGAACAAGAAAAAGATGGGCGAGAAGAGAGATTGGAGGCATGAGAGATAAGGAGAAGATGAAAAAAATTCAGAGTGGAGAGAGACAAGAGAGTAGCAGCGGCGGCTAGAATGAAAATGAGGGGGAGTGTCAAAATTTAGGGTTTAACTTTTATATATATGGCCAATTCGGTACACACATGCCCACTGCAATCCCACACACCCTCACACATCACGGCTGTTGATTTCTTCATCAGACCAATCACACGGCTCACCTACGCACGTACACCGTACACTCTCATAAACACACACAGGATCCGTCGCCCCCCTCTTAAAAACTTTTTTTATTTTATTAATTCTGATTTCATTTTTTAATTAATCTTTTTCTCTTCTTAATAAATTAATAACCCTTTTTTAATTAAACCTAATACCTTTCTTTGTAAATTTAATAAAATCAAACCTTTTCTTTTAAAATAAAATTAACTTTTTGTAAAATTAAAACTTACACTTCTTTTTAAAAATTTTAAATTCTAACTTCTTTTTATTCTAAAATTCTAACATTTTTTTATCGCATAAAATTCTAACTCTTTCTAAATTTTACCTAAAACCCTAATTCCAAATTCTAACTTTTTTTAATTACCTAAATTCTCATCGTCTCAGAACGTTCATCACTTAATTTTTTTCTTCAATTCTAATTCATCAATTCACTTCATTCCTAACAGTATTCTCGATGATCCATGAATTTGCTTACTAACTTTTTCATATTTGTACATTTATTTAACATTATTCATTCCATTATCACTTGTATATTATGATCTTCATTGCTTATTAATTTTTCACCTTTTATTTTTACTGTTATTCCCTTCCGAAGGAAAGGTCTAACCGTTTGACCGCCGTGTCAATAGTCTTTAACCCACGTACACCCTTACATCTTCCTAAATCTCAAGACTTTGAGTCGCCATACTCATGCTTAGGCATCCCGCCGTGGATAATTTTACCCTTTACCCTAGCCTTGGGATAAGGAGACGTCGCACTCCGTGTAAGTTCCCGCCGTGGAATATTTTGCACCTTTTTAATTCAACTTTTCAACGTAGAAGTCGGAGTCTCCGCACTCCACGTAAGCGCTTCCTTATGAGTGTTTATATCCCCTTGAAACCTTGACCACAATCAAGAAGTTTCTCTTCCTCCCTCTGTGAGGGGAACTACGATTACTCTAATTCCATCCCCTACCTCTGATACGTAGGCACAAGATGCGAGTCTTGTCGAGTAAACGTGTTCTTAAAAATAAGAACACGTTTAAAGAAGATGAATATGAACTGTATAGTAACTCTCTATCCACAACAGTAGAATTTTATTATTACTTTTCAACTGCAAAACTGTGATTATCAAACTTGATGATTATAATAATAAGAGTTACTCCCTATTTATAGATTCAAGTTAACTTGCATCTTAAACTAAAACTCAAACTATAAAAGTAAAAAAATATTTAATCTAATCTTTTTAAATTAAATCTGATCTGTATAAATCAAATTTAATTTTTTTAAAACAAAAAATTACATATTTAACATTTCTTATCAATAAAAAGTATTATGGGGCCATTAAGTTTGTTGTCCATCCTGAACAGAATTATAGTCTATACCCAATTAATTAATTAATTTTTAAATAAAAATTTAATTAACTTTTTAACTTTATAAACTAGTTAATATAACATAGTTGGTGGAAAGGCCCCTCTATCTAACATTATTTCCCTTATTGTCATTATAATGTCATCATCTTTGGATAAGACAGTTCGTTGGTCTCTGGTGGTGGTAAGTAATGAGTTTGATATATTGAGAATTGTTTCTCCCATTTTAAGGGGTGATTTTTGAATTATTTATTTTTTTAACAAAATAAGAAAGTAACTGATTTACGCATGAATTCAGTGTATTTAGATATGTCTGAAAAATGCAATTTTAAATTTGAAAGGAATATTTTTGAATTTTTATATAATGCTTCTCCATCACTTAAGGTGGAAGAATCATTGATATATATATATTTGTTATGAATTGAATGCGTTATTGGACCATTAAATCTGTTTTCAGCCCAGACAAAACACGTTAAGTTTTCAGAAAATTTAAATAGATCTTTTAACTTTTACTTGATTGAGTTTGAATATCAAGATTATATACATTGTATTGTCCCTTAGTGCCACTATTGATTGTTTCTAACTAGGTATACTGTTCTGTAAGAATAAGAGTAACTCTGGTGGCAGCAAAAATTGCATTCCACTTTAAGAGTCACTGAGGTGGGGCTGAAAAATATTTATTAGTTTCCTAACTACCACATTTACAACTTCAGCTATTTTCATGCTATAAATAACATTCTCAACCTTCTTCACTCTCAAATAATCATTTCTATTTCATTACATGCCTCACACTTCCATTTCCAACTAAAGTTTGTAAGTCATTTTTTTTAAAAAGATTTTTATATGATCTCAAGTTTTATTTTCATGATTCATGTTTTTATTTTATTTTTTGAGTTTGATAATTATAAGACTCTAGCTAACAGTTAGCACCTAATTATAATGTTGTCTCTACATAAACATTTTACTTAAACTTATCAGCATTAATATCTATTAGGCAACAAAATGTGGACCATAGACATTTAATTTGGATTGGAACTTTTCAATTTTTTTCCTCAAAGTGCGTCATTCAGGTTTTTTAGTGACAGATTAGAAGAATGAAGAGGTTTTCAGTTGAAGTTGAGGAAGGAAGAGAAGGTAGAAATGGAAAGCTTTCGGTTGGTCCGGTTTACCGGAACCTTCTCTCGAAAGACGATTTCCCTCCTATGGATCCTGATTTCAACTCTGCTTGGGATATTTTCAGGTAAATTCATTTTACTATCTATAAGGTTTGGTGATTTAATCAATAAAATGAGCATTTTTATGAATGATGTTGTTTTTAACGATTGCAGTACGTCTGTCAAGAAACATCCTCAAAATAGGATGCTGGGATGGCGGAAACTCGTTGATGGAAAGGTTGTTAGAAGTTCAATTTTGTGTTATGTAAGTTAGTTTAGTTTTGTATCAAGAAAATAAGGTAACTTTTTTTTTTGGTTTATTTTCATAGTTTGGACCTTATGTGTGGAAGACATACAAAGAAGCTTATGATGAGGTTTTGCAAATTGCTTCTGCTTTAAGAGCTTCGGGTGCTAAACCTGTAAGTCTTTGCAAAAGAGTTAATTCAATCAGAATGTCAGATTTCGATTGTGTAGATTCAGTTAGTTATATCCGTAATTGTTTGATCAAGATTAGACAAACTGTCTAAATATCAAATTTTTTAGTTATATTGTTTGATTTTGATCAAACTTTCATAGATATGATTGACTATATTTTTACCGCACACAATTATACTAGATTATTAATTTTGTCTTTTTAAGGAAAATTTCTTTAATGTCTACTATGGTGATTTTATGATAGGGTTCTAAAGTTGGAATTTATGGATATAACTGTCCACAATGGATTATAGCAATGGAGGTTTGTCACATTATTAGATCATTGTTTTAATTAATTATTACTTCTATAATGCTATCATAACTTATGATTATGTTTTGTTTATAATGTTGATGCAGGCTTGTTGTGCACAAAACTTAATTTGTGTCCCTCTCTATGACACTCTTGGTAAATTCTTAAATGAGAACATTTTTCTTGATTTAATGGGAATGTTTTAATTAGTGATTTGGTTTAAATGAGAACATTTTTCTTGATTTAATGAGAAATTTTTTAACTAGTGCTTTGATCTAAATGAAGAAATATTTTGATGCAGGGGCTGGAGCTGTAAATTTTATCATAGATCATGCTGAAATAGATTTTGTTTTTATTCAAGATAAGAAGGTTAAAGAGGTAATTAAAGCATACAAATTTACTTCTATATTTTTTTTGAGTTTATTTACAGAACAATAGATTTAGAGTTAAATTTTATGTTAGACAAGACGTTAAACATCTCTTCCAATTTAATCAGATGTTTTGAATTTGAATTCAACTCTAAATACTTCATAATTTCTTAATTTTACATATGTTGTTTTCAGATATTGGATCCAAAATGTATATCATCTAAGAGATTGAAAGGTAAATTTACAAGTTTTAATTTGGATATTAATATATGCATGGTTTAGGTAAAGAATTAAAGGCATTTATGTATGTACCTAAGTTTGGTTGTGGTGGTTACAGCCATAGTTGGCTTTACTTCATTAACTGAGGCAGAGAAAGATGAGGCCACCAACAATGGAATTAAACCATATTCATGGGATCAATTCCTAGGCATGGTAGGTCTATGTATATTTTCTCATTTAACTTAATCATTGTCTCAACTTTTTTTAATTTAAGAGTGAATGTTTTAATTCCTAGATATTCTTTGTAAATACACTTTTTTATAATTATTATTCTCTCTAATTTTTGTATAAGAGATATTTTACCTTTTTATATTCATTAAATAATTAATATATTTGATCTATAATAAAATATATTAATTTATTTAATAAATATAAAAAAGTAAAATATTTTTTATAATATGGTCAAATATTATATATATATATATATATATATATATATATATATATATATATATATATATATATATATATATATATATATATATATATATATATATATATATATATATATATATATATATATATATATGGGATTCCCAATCACAAATAATTCTTTTTAATCGGAAAATGAATATAGAATTAGATGACATATCATCAAACAAATAACAGTAGCATCATTCAATAACAATTCATTAATTATGTATTATTAAATTGGTATATTTTTATATAATTATTCCTATGTCCATTAGCCTTTTTTTTATAATTAATTACTCACAATACTTTGATGTATGGAAAAAAATCTAAAGTTTCTATAATTTTTGTTCATAAACTAAAATTTTCTGTTTATAACGAAATATTATTTGTATTTAATATCTTCTTCATTTTATTTAAATATTTTTAATTTTTTGTTAGTTGTAATCAAAATATTATTTAAAATAATTTGATTATATTTATTTTTTAAGACATTTTATAAATATATAATTTTTTCCTATCATTTATTTTATAGTTATTTCATCTCACACAAAACTACTAATAATTATCATTGTTATTTTCTTCATCCAAAAATGTTTCATTAAAATTTATTATAAAAAATAGAAAGAAAATAAGTACTATTTGAAAATAAATGATCCAACCCACAGTGGTTGGTAGGTATATTTTAATGCATCATCAACCCTGTCTCTACCAGCAGTAAATGTTGAGGTCCTAAATGTAATTTCGTTTCTGTTTTACTTTTATTGCAATAATAACTTCTTATACAGAAAAAAATAAACATGCATTATTTATAACTTATAAGTACTTGTTTATATTATATTTCTTAATTATAATTAATAAGAAACTTATTTATCAGGGAAAAGAAAACCCTTCAAGTATTTCTCCTCCTCTATCTCAAGATATATGCACAATAATGTATACAAGTGGAACAAGTGGAGATCCTAAAGGTGTTGTTTTAACACATGAAAATGTACTTGCTTTAGTTAGAGGAATGGATCTTTTTATGGAACAATTTGAGGACAAGGTAAATAAATATAAATATCTAATAATAATGTTTAATAATTAATTATATCATTTTTTATATAAACTATATTATTAATACATAAATTTTTTATTTTTTGTAGATGAATGATAGTGATGTTTATTTATCATTCCTTCCTTTAGCTCATATTCTTGATCGCACAATTGAAGAATATTTTTTCCGTAATGGTGCATCTGTTGGATACTATCACGGGGTAATTTGTCTTTTTATTGAGAGTGGATAAAAATAAATTTTTTCAATTAATAGATTTTTAAAAAATATATATTTATATGTGATTTTTGTCTGAAGGATTTGAATGCATTGCTGGAAGATTTAGGTGAATTAAAGCCAACGTTGTTTGCTGGTGTTCCACGGGTTTTTGAAAAAGTATATGAAGGTGAGGTTATTCTACAATATAACATTTATTATTATTTATTTATTGATTTTATTAAGATGATAATAATTTTTAGTATAATTCTATGATTTATTTTAGGTGTTAAAAGAGCAGTGGCGCAATTGAATCCAATAAGGAGAACAGCTTTTGGCTTGCTCTATAACCAGTAAGTTGTTAAATAACTTTTAATTAGCGCGAAATGTCAAAAACGTCTTATAATTTATATCGAGGTAGTTCTGTAATGTAATTGTAACATGTTTTTGTTTATATAGTAAACTTGGTTGGATGAACAAAGGATACAAACAGAAAGATGCATCACCTTTTGCAGATCTATTAGCCTTCAGAAAGGTTGTGTATATCATTTTCTCTTGCATGTATACACTATAATAGTCTTCAATTATACTTCTTAAACAAAGGATCAAATTCTTAACATTTTTTCTCCCTAATTAATCTCCAATCAGGTGAAAGCAAGACTAGGCGGACGTGTTAGGCTAATCATATCCGGAGGCGCGGCTTTAAGCTCCGAGATCGAAGAATTCTTGCGCGTCACTACTTGCGCCTTTGTATGCCAAGGCTATGGTAACAACCATGAATCTCTCTTATATATTATTAATACTATAGCGTTTCAAAATGATACACTTGACATTCTCTGTATTTTCTCTGTAGCGCTATCACCTCTAAAAAAAGATGTGTCTGTGTCATTAGTACTTATAATTATATTAACGTGTTAGTGTCAGTGTCATGTTTCTGGTGTGTGTTTTATTGCTGACACTAAGGTTAATCCAGGTTTGACAGAAACATGCGGACCTACTACTCTTACATATCCCGACGAAATGTGCATGCTTGGCAACGTCGGTGTTGTAACTGTATACAACGAGTTGCAGCTAGAGGAGGTTCCTGACATGGGTTACAATCCTCTTGGAAATCCTCCATGCGGGGAGATATGCATCCGAGGAAAAACTGTTTTCACTGGTTACCATAAGAATCCCGAGTTAACAAAAGAAGCCATAAAAGATGGATGGTTTCACACCGGAGATATCGGAGAAATTCTTCCTACTGGTGTTGTTAAGATTATTGACAGGAAGAAGAATCTTATTAAGCTTTCTCAAGGAGAGTATATTGCACTTGAGTATCTTGAAAATGTTTACACCATTACTCCAATTGTTGAAGATGTAAGTATTTATTTATCAACATTTTCTGGTTTTTACACAGTTTTGTTTTTGTGAGGTTTTGATGAATTTTATATTGATGTTGTTTTTTCTTTTTTTTTTTACTTCAAGATTTGGGTGTATGGGAATAGCTTCAAGTCAATACTGGTTGCAGTGGTTGTTCCAAATGAAGAATTTGCTAATAAGTGGGCTTATGCAAATGGTCACATTGCTTCTTTCTCCAATCTTTGTGCTCTTGACCAGTTGAAGAAATATGTTCTATCTGAGCTCAAGTCTACTGCTGTGAGAAACAAGGTAACATCTAAGGATTAATGATGCAAATTGCTTTGTTAAGGAGATTTATTTTATTTTTGAGAGATTTTTAAACTATGCATGTTGATGCAAATGATACACACAAAAAATGCTAAATTTCTTAACTCACTCTAACAAAAATTAGGGCAGATTTGCCGAGTCATGCACTCATAAAGATTAAAAATGCGAAAAAGCCATCTGCACTTGCCAAAGCCCACCAAAAAGCATAGTAGCTGCGGGCAAGGAAGAGAAAAGGGATCTAAAACTTTGTCTCGACCTGTCAAAAAATGCGGACAAAACAGACATAACTAACGGGCATTTATCAGTTTTGCCACCCTTATATAGTACATGAATCTCTAATTGTCCTGTTCCTTTTGATTTTTTTTTTTGATGAAACTAGTTGAAGGGATTTGAACATATCAAAGGGGTTATACTAGACCCACTTCCATTTGACATGGAAAGAGAGTTGGTGACTGCAACATTAAAAAAGAAAAGGAACAATATGCTCAAGTATTACAAGGTACTAGTTTTGTTTTTTTTTCCCTTACTTTTAATGTTGTATGTTAGTGTAGATATTATATGTTATGTGCTTACAAATTTGTTGACACTGTAATAGGTGGAGATAGACGAGCTATTCCAAAGTTTGACAGGAGATAAGCTTAAATTTTGAGATTTCTAGACATGGATATGTCTATTTAATTGTGCTATAGTATGTTGTGTGATGTATCTCATGTTGTTTAATTATTGTACCTAATGTTTAAAGGGTACACGAGAATAAACTATTTCACTTGAAGAGAGCTAAGTATTTGAATTTGTTGAAAATCTTATGGGTGAGATGTGCTATTAGCATACCATTGATATTGTGGCAGATAGAAATGGTGTAAAAATGTTGTTATATGTATTCATTTGACAGAATGTGTTTATATACACTTCTGTAATAAAAATGAGATTCTATGATTAAACTAGCAATAATTACATTAATTCTAAAATGAACATATATGGTAGGATAATAAGAGTTAACATATATGGAAGGATCTTGCCTTGGTAGCTGTATATGACAAATCAGGTTTTGATCCTCAATTATGAACTTCTCATCACATCATTCATGATTGATAACGTAATTAAAGTGTAGTTAATAGGACCACAATTTTCTCTAATTCACTTGTGATATAGTCATCCCAAATTTGTCTCTGAACATGTTGAATCTTGTGTGTGTGAAAGGTTTCGTTAAACAATCTGCAATTTGATTTGTTGTAGGCACATAAGCTATAGTAATTTCATTTTGAAGAACTTGATCACATATGTAGTGAACATCTATCTCAATATGCTTGGATCGAACAAGCATAACTGAATTAGATGATAGTGCCTTGGCACTCAAGTTATCACACCACAAAATTGGTTTTCCTCTCTTAGAAATGATTTGCTCCAAGCTACTTCAGCTCTTAGGTCAGCTAAGGCCCTATACTCTAACTCAGGGCTTGATCGTAACACCACTTTTTATTTTCTTTAGGTCCACAAAATCAGAGTCTCACTAAGGAACACACATTACCCTACCATGGATTTCATGTCATTTACACTAGTGGCTCAATCTGCATCAGAGAAACCTACAATATTAAGATCAGTTGAAGGCTTGATATGTAGACATAGATTTGTTGTGCCATGAAGATATCTCATTATTCTTTTTATTCTTTGTCAGTGACTTGTAGTAGGGGAACTCATGTACTGACTGAGTTTGATGATAGTAAATGTTATGTCAGACCTAATGTTAGTTAGGTATTGCAATGCACCTATAGCTTTTCCATATAGTGTATGGTTGATCATTGCTTCTTCTTCCGCGGTGACTTGTTCCCAGTTACCAATGGTGTAGGGTAGGATGAGGCCATTGAACTTTTTGACCATGTCTCTTATGTACTTTGATTTTTAAGGTACATTCCATCATCATCTTTGTGCAATTAAATTCCTAAAAGGTAGTGTAGATGACCTAAGTCTTTAAGTGAGAAGCCAGTGCTCACTTGAGTGATGAAGGTATCTAGAAAGTTGATATTTCTCCTTATTACTATTATATCATTAATATAGAAGAGAAGATATGTGACACGACTACGAAATACTCCATCAGTTTCAAAATGATTGTCGTTTAAGGTTCTTGCACACAGATTAAATAATGCAATAATATCGTCATAAAACATTACATTTTTACTAAGTTTTCCTTATTAAAGGAAACAATTGTTTGAAAATTGAGAATTACATTCATTTTGAAATGATTTTTTTCTCTAAAACGACTGTCATTATGAAGGAGTGAGTATACCTTTTGTAACGTCATATTACTTCGAACATTTTGTCAACCGTAGTAATATCGCATTTTTAACACGCCTATTTTTTTTTATTAAAAGACTTTTTATCACGGTTCATAATAATAATTATAGTCATAGATTAAGGGTTACAAGTTTCGAATCCCAAAATCAACATTTTTTCCATTTTTTCAATAAATAAAGTGTGTCCCTTAACAAATATTGTTAAATAAAAATTGAAAAAGTTTTAACTACGGTTGTTTTTATCAATTGTGGTTATATGTGTCATATTTCACTAGGTTGGTATTTGCAACCGTTTTGAAATTTTTTCCTACAAAATTAAAACATAACAGGTTATTTATTTTCTTCATAACACATGCCCTAGTGAACCAGACGACAACGATAGTGAAATCTTCATCTTTCTTCTTTTCTTGGAACGTCCAATCTTCACCATCTTCACTCATTTCTTGAAAAAAAACATTTCTTAGTCTCTTCCTCCTCTTCGAAGTATGGTATGTTACCTTTTCATGTTCTTTGTTCATTGTTCATTTCTTGGTCTCTCTCTCGCGCTGTGGTGAGGTTTTCCTTTATGTGGTTTGGATTTTTACTTTGTTGCAATTGGACTACTTTGTGTTTTGGTTTTATTAAGATTTTGTGGCGTTTTTGTTGTTATAAGACCATGTGATGTTATCATGTGTCGTGTTCTCGCGCTGTGATGTTTTTGTTGTTATAAGTCTATGTTTTTGTTTTCGCTTTGTTTTTATAACTCAATTGAAAATAAAGAAAGAAATGTGGTTATGAATATGCTTTAAGTTTTTGTTTTCCAAATGAAATTATTGGGTTGCTGATTGATGTCATGAATTATAGAGACTGGTTACGAATATGCTTTAGATTTTAGTGTTATATTATTGTGATAAATATATTAGTATGCATATAATCATATTAGTATGTTGTGTGTGTAACACTAGTGTGTCATTCACATTAGTCTTTTGTTATAAATTTCAGAATTTTTCATGGATTATAATTCGATGAAAGCTGATAGATTAAGTCAGGTCTATGAGAAAGGAATTGAATTCCTTGAATTTGCGGAACAAAATCTTCCTGGAAATAATGGTCTATTTTATTTTCCTTGTGTTAATTACGGGATATCAAAAAATGTTCAAATGGATAAATATTACATTACCTATGTTGTGATGGAATATGTCAAAATTATACAACATGAACATGACATGGAGAAATGGATAAAAATCAAAATGTGATATCACAAATGAATGAAGTTGATGAAAATATGGATGATCGACTAGAAGATATGATTTGTGATATTGGCGAATCTTCTTTTATGAAATCTCATATTTATGATACTTTATGTAGTGATAATGATGCGTCTTTATATAAGGGGTGCACAAATTTTACATGATTTTTTGCGTTGTTAAAATTGTTTATTCTAAAGGCATAAAGTGGGATGTCGAATAAAAGTTTCACCGAATTGCTTGATTTGTTAAAACAAATGCTACCAGAAAATAACAATTTATCGGATCGTTGTTATGAGGCCAAGATGATGTTGTGTCCAATGGATTTGGAGTATATTAAAATACATGCATGCCTTAATAATTTCATATTATATAGGAAAGAGTTTGAAAATTTGGATCAATGTTTGGAATTTGGTGAGTCGCGCTACAAATTGAAGGATAAGAATGGTGATGACAATGACTTTCTTGCATATGGTAATTTGGTTGAATATAGTGTTAAAGGACATAAAGTGTGTCCTATATGTGAATCTAATACATGTTTTTATCACTTTGAGTTTGGAAACAAGACCATTTACCTTGGGTGTCAGAAATTTCTAAAACCCAATCATCCATATCGTAGATTGCACAAGGCTTTTAACAGAAAGCAGGAGTTGGAAATCGCTCCTAAATCTTTGACTGGTGATGAATTTTATCAACAACAAGAACACCTTACTATTGTATTTATAAAGAACAAAAAAGGTACGATTGAGAGAAATACTTGGAAAAAGAGATCGATGTTCTTTGATCTTCTATATTGGCCTAGCTTCGATGTAAGACATAGTCTTTATGTGATGCATGTGGAGAAAAATGTGCGTAATAGTTTGATAGGAACACTTCTAAACATTCCACGAAAGACTAAATATAGTAATAATTCGCGTTTAGATATTGTGGAGATGGGTGTACGACAACATTTGGCTTCAGAAGATATATAAAAATAATAACTTATTTGCCTCTGATATGTCACACTCTATCTAAAAAGGAAAATAAAAGATTTTGCGAGTTTTTGCATAGTATCAAAGTTCCCCAAGGTTTCTCATAAAAAATTAAGAAACTTGTAGCAATGAAATATCTCAAGTTAATTGGCTTAAAATCTCATGATTTTCATGTCTTGATGCAATAACTTCTATCAATGGCTATCTGTGGCATCCTTCCAAAAAATGTAAGAGTAACTTTAATCAGATTATGCTTATTCTTCAATGCTATATGTAATAAAATTATTGATTTAAAAAAATTAGATGAATTAGAAGATGAGGCTGCAATAATCTTGTGTCAGTTGGAGATGTATTTTCCTCCATCATTTTTTGACATTATGGTTCACTTACTTGTTCATCTAGTCAAGGAAATCATATTTTATGGTCCGATTTATTTAAGATGGATGTATCCAATAGAGCGATACATGAAATATCATTGACCGGAAGCTTTGATCGTTAAAAATTATATCACAGAAGAAGTTGTTGAATTTTGTTCAAACTATTTGTCGAAAATAGAGTCTATAGGAACTCCAAAGTCTCATCACGCTGACAGATATGGATTTAGAGGTATTAAAGGTTTAAATTTTAATTCAATGGCTCGGGATGTAGTTCATGAAACACATTTCTATATATTTAATAATCTTAGTTTAGTTGAACCTTACATAGCTACTCACAAGAAAGTTATGAAGAAAAAATATCCCCGAATGAGTGACAAGGGGTTGTTGATAGATCATAATAATAAATTCCTAACTTGGTTTAATGAAAGGATATCTAATGATAATAGTGCATCCATGATAATTAAATGGTTGTTGTACATGCCAAAATTTAAAGTGGTAACTTAGACGACATACGACATTTCTAATCATTCATTTTATACAAAAGCAAAAGATGATTGTAGCACAATGCAAAATAGTGGGGTTATAGTTGAGGCTGAATCCATGTATTTCTTTAGTTCGAAAGATAAGAATCCTATTTTGGCAACCACTGCGTTCTATAGTGTCATTGAGGAGATTTTGGATATTCATTATGTTATTTTTAAAGTTCCTTCATTAAAATGCAAGTGGATTCCCAATAACAATGATGTACAAATTGATGAGTTAGGTTTCTGATGACTTATTTCGC